CCAAGGGTCACCACATGAACCCAACTTTACTAAGGTTGTGCGATGCATGTTTTATGGCCAGTTTTTCATTTCCAACTCAATGGTATTGGTTATAAGACCATCAGGTATGGTTTAGGTCACTTTCTGGTGGAGGTCAGGTCAAGGTCAGGTCAAAGAAGGTCAAATTTCAAAGTTGATATTTTTGCGTAAAATGGGTATCGATTCGATGCAGCTCGTCACGGGAAGTCTAATGAAGGTCTTTGTTTTGGGCTACAAGGTCTAGAATATCTAAAAATTGAGTTTGAAAATTTGACGTCATCAATTTTGAACAGTTTTTTCGCTATAACTTGGCCAAAAAAGAGGTATTGATCTCAAATTTGGTATGTAGATAGAAGGCGGTAGGGACTATCACATATATTCCGTTTTTTTCGAAATTCAAAAAACTCTTTGGATTTTTCGGCTATTATATTCAAAAAATCTATTTTTTGTTTTTTGGGGGTTAAAATCCAAAAAATTCGAAAAACCGAACTAACAGTTTTGTAGCCCTTTTAATTCCACACCTTTTATGTCGGAACATTTTTCTGTATCTCTAAAGCTGTAGGCCTGACAGCTCTTCCCGCGAAACCTTTTTTTCAGGGTCGAAAATGGCAAAAATGACGTCACTCTGACGTCATTAGCGGCCAACCTATCATAGCCTTTGGAAAAAATTTTGGTCACCATGTGCACTACTGCACTAGCTACTCCCGGGAGGGCACCGAAAGTTTGATGACGATCGGCGCAGCGGTTCTCGAGATATATCGAAAAAACTAAAGGGGGGGCAAAAATGCCCCCCCCCCACCGCCTGGAAGGTTAAGGTGGGATGGTCACTTTAATGATGCAAGGCAGGTTCCATGCGTTACCTACAATTTACAGTTATACTATGTTTGTTTGTTTGTTTGTTTGTTTTGTTGGGTTAGGCCCTTTCGGTCGACAAGACCATTGCAGAGCCGGAAGGATGATAGGAATTAGGGGGAGACATTGGTCTGGGCAGGCACCCTAGTGAGTCGCCGGGGCTGAGCCCGTCCAGAGGACAGGCCATCCAGCCCCAAGGCACTCACTGCACCCGGCTACGGGGTGCGCTCCCTCAGGAGCAGCGGTGCCGCTCTAAGGGAGCAGCCCGCATGAGATAAAGTTGCCTGTCCAGCCCGGAGGGGGGTTGCGGCGTGGAGGAGAAGGATTTCAGTATCCTGAGGATAGAAGCACGGATAGGTGAATACTATGTACGAGTTATACTCGTATACTGTACGAGTTATACAGTTATACTCGTAGTATAGATTCGATACAGGAAATCCAAGGCACTGGTCGCTGCCGGTACTGTATTGCGGTACAGCATAACTTCAGGCGCTTACTTCTGCTGCCATCTTTTGGATGGATACGTAACTACGAAGTATCCGCCTTGAGCAGAGCATTGCGGTACAGCATTCCTCCAGGCGCCTACCTCTGCTGCCATCTATGAGATGGGTGCATAACTATAAAAACTCAGCCGTGAGTAGTGCGGTACAGTATACCTTCAGGCGCTTATTACTGCTGCCATCTATGGGCGAAAACCTAAGCATAGCTCCACCTAGATGTCGCTCTGGTAGTGGTCAGATCTGGGCCTCGTCTCGCGGAACGCCGCTAAGCCGCTGCCTAGCGCTATTGGCCTTTCGATTTCCGTGGAAGCATTGACAAATTGTATGGTCCGAGCGCCCGAATTTATTGATGTGTCCTTACGAACCGCTAGCACAATAGCGCTAGAAGCCGCTAGCAGAGGACAATTCGGTGCGGTACTTTATATATAGGTAAGGCTTAGATACTTACCACGTGTGATTAATGTGTCTATCACTATTTGCTTCCATTTCAAATTATTTTGGAATTAACCCTCGCCCGTTTTTCCAGCCGCGAACGTATAAGGGGGGGGGGGTGGACCCCCCTTGCCGTTTCGCCCCTGATCGAGCTAGAGCTTCGCGGAAAAGACGAGCGTGTTGCCCGTGACGAGAGGAAGCCGATGATACCCAATTTTAATGTCCTAGGTCATCGGTTGACCTTCCAGGTCAGGTCAATGACCCAAAAGTCGGGAAAATCAGAACCTGTTAGAAAGTCGTAAAGCGTGGCTGCCATGGGGTTTTTCGGGGTGCTGATCACGAATATCATGCTAGTTTTGATCACAGATGATGTATTCATGCATTTAGGCCAGGTCGGGTCAGGTCAGGTCAGGTCAACCAGTAAGGGTATTCGCAATAGGTGGCAATCGCTTCTGACAGCTTCTTAACATGTTACGAAGGCGCCAAAACTACTTCGTAAATGTTCATATGGTTTCTTAATTCGAATTCAGCTCCAAAAGCTGGCCTAGAAACATGTAAAACTCGAAAAAGTGAACCGAGGTCATCAAAGGTCAATGGCCTGACCTGACCTTGCGGTGACCTTGACACCCACCCTAATGCATGGGAGCAACATCATATCCCATGTTTGAACGCTGAAAACCACGAAAAGACTGCAAACGCGCGGCTAATGCGAGCCAACATACGCCGAATCGCGATTCCAGCCAAACATGGTCTCGAAAAGTAGGTCACAGGTCAAAGGTCATTAGGGTCAGGGTCATGAAATATCAGGGTAGGTGTAAAATTGATTAACGCGAGGATACTGAAAGTTCCGTTGCGATCGGCCGCTTTTTACGCGAGTTATTCGCGAAAAACCGAGGGGGGTCCGTTCGACCCTCGCCCTATACCTACGGGCGAGGGTTAATTAACTCGGTCAATGAATCTGATTCAGCAGCTCATGCTGTATTTATTGGTGCCTTTCCCGACAAGACAACTCAATTTTGTCGGAGTCTCGATGGAAATATCCTAATTCCGATTAGCTCGAATGACCTAAGTGATGTCATAATGACATCAGCCAGCATGCCAAGTTTAGCTCTCTTTCGCTGATGCGTCATGAGCAATCGCGAAAAGAAACTTCAGGAGGCTCTAACCTTCCTTCTCGACCCAGGGTCAATTAAAACGTGTCTTTCAAGTTTCTAAGTGCTTGTACGAGGAACATATTAAAACATTTTACTTTAACCAGTAGGTATAGGTAACGCCTTTTGGGGCGACTAACGGAGCGAGCGAGAGGGTGGGCCTTGCACGTGCGAAATTGCGAGGGGGTACCTCCAACTGACTTGTGCACGGCACCCTACTAACTGGTCTCTAGCGATGTGCCAAATTTGGGCACAATCGGCCCAGCCGTTCTCGAGATCTGGAAGCGGCACCCTGCACGTGCGCACGTGCAAAATGGGTCCCAACTGACTTGTGCACGGCACTCTACTAAACGGTCCCTAACCGTGTACCAAATTTGAGCACAATCGGTCCAGCCGTTCCCGAGATCTGGAAACGACCCCTGCACGTGCGCACGTGCAGCAGCACCCCAATTCTGGCACATGTATATGCAGTGCCTAGTGGGTGCCTACCTACATGCCAACTTTCAGCGCAATCGGCCAAGTAGTTACCGAGATATTGCAACAATTACAAAACTGACACCTCTTCGTTTTGCACGTGGCACGTGCATAAGGGGTCACCCACATGCATCGGGAATAGTCCAATACTTGGTAGAAGGAATGAAGCTACCCTACAAAAATTACCGCGTGTAAATCGGTCAAGTGGTTGCTGAGATATAAGCCTCGCAAAAGCGTGACCACGGCCGGCCGGCCGGCTGGCCGCTCATACTCAGAAATTTCCGTTAATCTAAGGAAAGACTACGCTCGCTTCGCTCGCTCCGTAATAACCTTATCCTCGTATTTAACAAGTTAAGTCAAAGCACTTCTTTATTACGAACTTATCAATAAACAACTGTTTCACTTTAACTTTTTATCAACGAGGATAAAGTCATTAAGCTAGAAGGTGATAAAATTTGTCTTGTTTGATCGTTAGACCATGGATTCGTGTTCATTACTAATATTACTGAACTAAGAGTGGAATATACTTTTTCGTTCGCATAAATAACAAAAGCAAATCAATTGAAATCAAACAATTAACTATTAGACCTTTATGAGTGGCTGTGCCATCCGCTGTGGCTTTTCTGGGGACCAGTCCAACTCCGCTCACGTCCTTGCTTACTTTGTCTTAACCTAGTCTAGGCTGATGGTCACCACCACCAGATAACTGAAGGTCTTGATAAGACTTCACCGACACCGGATAGTGAGTAGTGACCGTTTGAACGGCAGGGTGGGCTGACCCCCTGTGTGGAGTCCCACCGGGACGGTCTCTGTCACATACATTATATAATGTAGCATAATATATTATTAGATGAATATTATAATCATTAGAATTAATTTAATATTATTATTATATTATTATAAATAATTATTAGAATTAGAATTATATAATAATATATATACAGATAATGTAATTATTAGAATTAAAATTATATAGATGAATAAATAGTTATTTATTCATCTTCGATCGATAGAAATTCGGAGGGGTAATCATCAGTTCGTTCAATCAACTATCGACAAGCCAATTCGGGCACCTCGATCGGCCCTCGTTGTCCGGTGTGTCTCCGCTCAAAATCCGCCCTTTCCTCTCATACCAGGACACCACAACTGACCCCCGGATGCGGATGGTGGGATTTCCACCCGGGTGCGGTCTAAGTCGTACTCCGTTGGCAGTGTATTGTGTCTGATCGGATGCCGGTCTGCCTTTGTACCCAGCACATCCGTTACCCGAGGTCACCCCAGTCAGAGAACGACCGGCCCGGCGCAGGTAAAGTCATATTCAAACTATAGCCGGAAATCATCTTTCCGCTGCTCTTTCCTGGTCAGATGCTTCTTTTCCTTACAGTTCAGGGACTTTCGATGACTGAATGAAGGGTTGAAGATGATTCATTAGAAGATTAGTTTATTTGGAGGACTATCACAGTGAGACGCCTGTTGCAACGGCTATAGAATAGTGTGAAATGTATGCACATTTGTGACAATAACGCATATAATAAATACACCAGATTCTCGTAAGATAGGTAAATGGCTTGTTTTGTAATGAATAAATAATAAATAAATAATTCGTGCTGGCACAAGACTGCAAGCAAAACTCAACTGTATGCGATGTTCCTTTTTGATCGCAACATATCACCAAAGCGAGACAAGTTTAAACTTCATTTCACGTTGTTAAGCGTATATTTAGTCTCTTGGCAATGACTTATTGCAATACGCTTTTCGTCGCTCCTACACACCATGGACCACTGCTGGCGCATCGTGCTTCACAGCTCTGCATGATAATCACACCTAATGCGTGTGGGGTAAGCACCAATGCGACAGTATTCACGAAACACTATGGCTCCAACTTACCCTTGCTGTTAAACCCGTCCCTCTCTTAAAACCGTTTGTTATACTGTATGTTTGAATAGAATGTGCGAGCTTAAATGCCAACTACATTTGACCTATATAAAGCTCGCAGCTAAAGTATTTTGACTAAAAACACATTACAAAATGTCAGTTTATTTACCATAATGTTTCGAGTTGTAGCTACTATAGCCGCCATAATTGCCATAACCCTTGCCGTAGTTCCCATATGATCTATAATTGTTGTAGTTGTAGTTGTTGTAGTTGTTGTATTTGCTATTGTAGTTGTTATTGTAGTTGTTGTAGTTGTAGCCGTTGTAGTTGCGGTTGTAGTTGTTGTTGTTATAGTAGTTCCTATTGTAATTGTTGTAATAGTTACTGTTGTAGTTGCCGTTGGAGTTGGTGTTGTAATAGTTATTGTTGTAGTAGTTGCTGTTGCTGTTGGTGTTGCCGGTGCCGGTGCCGTGCGAGTAGCCGTAGTTGTTGTGAGATGTGGCGTACATATGGGACGGTGGATCCACGTGCACCGGCGGACACTTGAGGCCGGTGATCTTCCACTGGGCGGCGTCTGTGCAGAAGGTCTGCAGCCCGAACTGACACACGTACGCGCCCGGGTAGCACTCGGGACTGTCCAGACACGTCTGCGTGCCGTTGATCACCGCGCACGTGGCGCCCGGACACGCGTTGGCCGCGTCACTGCAGCGGCCCGAGTGTGCCGGCTGCACGCAGTTACTGACTCCCTTGTTGGAGCTGGGACAGCACAGCAGGTCAGACTCGCACTGGTTGTCGAACTGACACGTGAACCCGCCCTGAGTCGCCTCTGTGACCGCGTCCGGCGACGGACAGTAGCCGAACTTGGGCTGCGCCGTCGGCGGACAGTGCGTCTTGTATCGGCAGAACGGAAAGTTGTCACAGCCGGGGATCGAGCCGTCCTTGACGCGGTGCACGCAGGTTTTTCCCTCGCCGCAGTTGACGCGACTGCAGAGGTCCTCCTCGCAGATGGGTTCCGGGTGACACGGCGGGTCCGGGCAGTGCTCGGCGTCCTCCAGAAGACACGCCGTGCCCGGGCCGCACTCCATGCCGGCGCAGCTGGGCGGCGGCTCCACGTGCACGGGCGCCTCGGTGGGCGGCGGAGCCGGGGTGGGCGCCGGGGTGGTGGCCGGGGGACGCGCAGTCGGGATGTGCACCTGGGCGCCGGCAGAGAGCACCAGTCGTGGCCGCGGGGTGGTGGTCGTGGTCGGCTGCTCGGTGGCAGCCGCCGGGGCCGGGGTCGGCGCGGGCGGCTCGGCCTGCAGACCAAACAGCTCAGCAAACGAAGGGATGAGCGGCTGGTCGGGCTGCAGCAGCTGCGGGCCGGGCGGCGGCGGCGGCGGCGGCTGCGGCTCCGGCTGGGCGGGCGGCGGCTTCTCCGGCGGCTCCGGCAGCTCCTGCCCCGGCTGAGGCAACGGAGGCAGCGGCGGCAGCAGCAGCGGAGGGAACTGCTGAGGCAGAGGAGGCAGCGACCCCAGCGGAGGCAGGAAGGGGAAGAGGTGAGGGAGGAAGGGCGGCGGGAGGAGGGGCGGGCTAGAGCCGGCGTCCGGCTGCTCCGACTCAGAAGCCGCCTCTTTGGTCTCCTGCTCAGGCTTGGCCAGCTCCGGCTCTGTCAGCTCCGGCTGCGTCAGCTCCGGCACAGGCTTCTCCGCCGGTTCAGCCGGCTTCGCTTTTTTCGCCGCTGACATCAGCGACTCTGGCACCAGCTCAACGTCTGGCGACATCTTCTTCAGCTGCGGCTCCGCTTCCACCACCTGCTGAGCCGGCTTAATGAGCCGCGAGGACAGCTGCAGCAGGTGCGGGAACGAAAACTGTGCCGGGTCCGGCAGCTGAGGAGCCGGCGGGGCGGGCGCCGGAGCTGACTTATCCTCCTTTTCCTCCGGCTGGGGAAGCGGGGGAAGAGGCGGGAACGAAGGGAAGAATGGGAATTGCTGCAGCAGCTGCGGACTCAGCGGTGGTACTCCTGAACTCAGCTGTGGCACTCCCGAGCTCAGCTGCGGCGCTGTAGAGCTCAGCTGTGGCACTCCCGAGCTCAGCTGTGGCACTCCCGAGCTCAGCTGTGGCACTCCCGAGCTCAGCTGTGGCACTCCCGAGCTCAGCTGTGGCGCTGCCGAGCTCAGCTGTGGCACTCCCTTGGACAGCTGCGGCACTCCCTTTGGCAGCGACGGCACCCCTGAGCTCAGCTGTGGCACTCCTTGTGGCAGCTGTGGTACTCCTTTTGGCAGCTGCGGCACTCCCTGTGGCAGAAAAGGAAATCCCTGTGGCAGCTGCGGCAGTCCTTGGCTCAACTGTGGCTGGCTCAGCTGCGATAGGCCCAGCTGTGGTTGGCTGAGCTGTGGCTGGTCTGGCTTAGGCTGGCTTGAGGATGAGAGTGGTTGCGTCTGGGTCGCCTTTGGCTGGCTGGACTGTGGCTGGCTAGGCTGTGACTGGGCTGTCTGAGCCTGACCCGCCTGCAGTTGGCTCAGCTGGGGCAACGGCTGCAGTAGATGAGATAACGGCGAAAAATGGGTGATTGGGTGCCCCGGAGGCAGGGGAAGGAGCCCCTGGAGGCCATTGGCACCCGTCGGAGGCATCGTGAGAGAAGCTGACTTCATCGTCTTGTTCGGCTTGGCAGGCTTCATCAGCACGGTGCTGTTGCTGTCCTTGATGTCGACGCAGACGGGTTTCATCGTCCAGAAATTGCTGCTGTTGAGCACGGGTCGACGGAAGCATTGCTGCCCCTTTGGGCAGGGGTCGTCACACTTACGGTACGCCCCTGAAACAGAGAAACAAAGTGTCAGAGACTGAAGAGTCGATCGCCGATCAGTCGTTCGACGAGCTACTGCCGCAGTTGGTGGCCAATTGCCGTGGGTATGGCAGCGTGGAGTAGCTATGGCGGGCCGGACCACTTGTTATGTAATCGTCACGTGACCAGCACGAGTGTCTGACATCGACTGCATCGTTTGATATGGCACAACTACGAGGAGCATCATATAAGGGTAGCTGCTTTCCCACGTGTCTATAGATAGCTTCGCGCACTCCCTTTATGATGTCATTATGCCGCATCAAATATTTTGCTTGATGTCAGTCATTGCATGGTATGTATATGAGCCAGGCGTGAGTGAAGCACACTCCCGTTATCCGCTTTTTTACTTTTCTGTGTTATTTTTAGGCGTGGCATGAGGTCTTAAAAAGCATTGCTAACGAGGATGTCACCCATGAATGTTTGCTGTGATTCGTGAATAATACATAATTGCATGCCTTATTACATATATTTTTTTCGTCTAAGTCATGCACATGTTTGACTAAAAGCATCATAATCCACTTAAGTCAGGGCTTATTACCCACCAGCTCCATCTATCAACTGACCTGTGCCAATGCATGCGGAGAATATTGAATAGACGATGGAATTTAGAGTGGTACGTTCGACATTTCCGCATAATCGTACAAAACCCACCAAGCCAACTTTTGTTTCATTAATTTGACCTCCGATTAGGCGTGTAGTCCTGCAACTGACTGCGAACCGTCTCCGTCTTCGGCGAAAAGTGAGCGCCAAAATAACTCCAACGGGACGCTCACCACTGGTGCACGGGTCTTTTGGCGGTCAGATGCCGTCGCTACTAGGCTGTTGGGAAGTACCTCAGTTATGTAATGACACGACCAATGTCATTCCAATGACAACGCCTGCAAACATTCTGTAGTGAGTTTTCATTTTTTATGAAGGTAAATAGATGGACTGATAAAATGGCTGGCACCATAAACCCTACTTCTAGCATTTGCATACCATCACGCCTTCAAAATTATTTGGTATACTGATTGGAAACAGATGTGACGAGCAGACAAAACGTCAAGAATGCCTGTATAGTGTATGTGTTTGAATGCGCTCTAAAGAATGTTAGCTTAATAAAAACAATGAAAAAGAGTTTAGATACCAAGCTACTGAGCATTTCCGTATTATTGACACCTTACTTTGTGATATGATCTCTAACATACCTATAACAAATGTTCTGACCGCCTAAACCGTGTAGCGTGCACACCGCACATAGAGGAAGTCACATTTGTGAATATCGTTCACAAACTGATTGACGAGCAGACATTTTTCCTCTGGAAATCTTTCCCAGCGTGGCATCGCTGGGGTCCGTCTGCTCGGTACAGGAAATCGTAAACCCAATCAGTAACGGTAATGATGAACGTAGCTCCATTTTCCAGGTCAATACTGGTGGTACAATGAATTGACAGGCTGGGAGTTAGACGGGTGACAAAGGAAGAATGATATAAAACCTGTTGAACCTCTTTTTTCTCGCATAGCAGCGTCATCTGTAGCGAATCAGCGATTGGGTGTGATTGCTATCTAATTTTTCCCGAAGTGTGAACTTATAGGACAGGAATAAAATCTAAAGTAATTTAATGCATTTCGTTAATGTATCCTCTGAATTGATAGAAGCGTAAGGCCTGTTCGACACCCAATTTTACTAGATGTTTTTTTTCCTTCGTCAAGAGTACTCGATTGACATCAAATTTTGAGAGTTAACTTAAAAAATATTTTTTAATGAGGTTAGTGCTTGTGCGAGGAACATGTTCATAAATAGTAGAAAATGTAAAAACATGACCTTATTTCCTCGATAATTGCCAAGACTAATGCTGTACAAATATATACTTTATTTGAAAGAATGTAATATTTCGACCACAGGTCTTTTTCAAACAGTTTCAAATTAGAAAAGATACCATTTCCATTTGCCGCATTTCCAACTGCCTTTCAACAAAAATTTATGGTTGAATCGTGCCCACTAGCTCACTCGCACCACTCATGAAATATTTGGCTAGCAAAAATAGCATCACATAGGGCACCTATTTTTCAAAATACATAATTTCAGCCGTACGAGATAAGTAAGTATTAACATACCGACTGACCATAACACAAAACATCCTACAGGCCTTCGCCATTATTTCTCACAATTTCGTCCAAAGTCACCCAGCTGTCTACAAGGCATAACAGATGCAGCATGCCAGCAACTATCATATGCTGTCCAGGCTTTTACACATTTACGTGTCTATCCGTCCAGTATTCACATAACACCGTAACACCAGAATGGAATACAAAGAAAGCAAAGATGGGCATAATTGGCATACTCGCATAACATACCTATAGCGTTCAATGCCATAACATATAGCGTTCGATGCCCATAATCAATAACACATATAGTCCACCCCCCCCCCCCCACACACACACAAACACTATCTAGCTTTGAACGCGTGAACATACGCAGTACCTAGTGCACAGTAAACATATACAGTACACATTTACACATACATCGGCGTTGTTCCTAGCATTGTTTACCTTACAAAATAGGCCAAGACGATACATTACTGTTGAGTTCCGGACGGTTCTTTCTTATCAGCAGCGATTCAGCTATTTTACGGTCTGGATGGTCTTTAGACTTGTACAATATTTTAATTTTGAGCGGAGCAGACGTCCCATCTACGATACTGTCACCGTGTTTCTCCGTAAAGTGATCACCCAACGGAGTGTCAGGGGTCCTGTTGGTCATGTCGCGCACGTGTTCATTGAACCTGTGTAAAATCAAAAGTAAGGTAAAACGGTCAGGTTTGAATGTCAAGCTAGCTTGGAAGAACAAGGGTAAACTAAAAAATATGCTAGTCAAAACATCACTTCGCAAGCCTAAATGTCCGGGCGGTCAACGATGCCACGCATGTAGAATGGGGTTTACGGGGGATTGCACTCAGAAAAATGTGGTATATGAAATCAGGTGTGGGATCTGCGGGGGAAATGACAAGGAAGGTGTTTATATCGGAGAGACAAAACGGCCATTGCGCCTCAGGTTCAATGAACACGTGCGCGACATGACCAACAGGACCCCTGACACTCCGTTGGGTGATCACTTTACGGAGAAACACGGTGACAGTATCGTAGATGGGACGTCTGCTCCGCTCAAAATTAAAATATTGTACAAGTCTAAAGACCATCCAGACCGTAAAATAGCTGAATCGCTGCTGATAAGAAAGAACCGTCCGGAACTCAACAGTAATGTATCGTCTTGGCCTATTTTGTAAGGTAAACAATGCTAGGAACAACGCCGATGTATGTGTAAATGTGTACTGTATATGTTTACTGTGCACTAGGTACTGCGTATGTTCACGCGTTCAAAGCTAGATAGTGTTTGTGTGTGTGTGTGGGGGGGGGGGGGTGGACTATATGTGTTATTGATTATGGGCATCGAACGCTATATGTTATGGCATTGAACGCTATAGGTATGTTATGCGAGTATGCCAATTATGCCCATCTTTGCTTTCTTTGTATTCCATTCTGGTGTTACGGTGTTATGTGAATACTGGACGGATAGACACGTAAATGTGTAAAAGCCTGGACAGCATATGATAGTTGCTGGCATGCTGCATCTGTTATGCCTTGTAGACAGCTGGGTGACTTTGGACGAAATTGTGAGAAATAATGGCGAAGGCCTGTAGGATGTTTTGTGTTATGGTCAGTCGGTATGTTAATACTTACTTATCTCGTACGGCTGAAATTATGTATTTTGAAAAATAGGTGCCCTATGTGATGCTATTTTTGCTAGCCAAATATTTCATGAGTGGTGCGAGTGAGCTAGTGGGCACGATTCAACCATAAATTTTTGTTGAAAGGCAGTTGGAAATGCGGCAAATGGAAATGGTATCTTTTCTAATTTGAAACTGTTTGAAAAAGACCTGTGGTCGAAATATTACATTCTTTCAAATAAAGTATATATTTGTACAGCATTAGTCTTGGCAATTATCGAGGAAATAAGGTCATGTTTTTACATTTTCTACTATTTAAAAAATATTTTGATCAAGGCATAGATAACATGATTCGTGTTATCTATGGCCAAGGCCATAATCTGACTTGAAACGATAATGTTGTATCCAGTCATTTCGCGCTGGCGTTATAAACACACGCTGAGTATTTTCATCGTTTGATTAGCTATGCATGTAAGAAAAGTCGTCGTAAAAAAACGGTCTATGACCTTTTACGACATTTCATGACATGACACCAGACGTCTTATTACAACAGAATGATAAATCGAGAATGATAAATCGGTAAAACAAAAATAACATTACATAAGACCAATTATAATGCTATACCAAACAGGTATATATGATAAAAATATATCTCTCACTAAACGAGCCAAGATACCTATCGATGGATGAAATTGTACATTTGCTGCTTACAAGGAAATGTAACCGTTCTGAAAAAATATAATTTATATCTACTGCAAAGGCTCTGGGCCGTCATAAATCAGAAAGCACGACCGGTTGAAATCACCAAACGTCAACCACCAGGCATAACCAAAACGTCACATTCCGGCACTCAGCTCGTCACAGCACGTCACTATCCCGGCGGGGACGCACCGCGGAGCTCACACCTCTCACAGCTCTCACCACCGGTCCTCCTGCTTTCACAGCCTCTCTCCGGCTCTCACCGCCCCTCCCCTCCTCTCACAGCTCCATTCTCACCATGAGCGGGGCACAGGAGGGCGACAGTGAGCGTCAGCACGCCGAGTCGCGCGAGGGCCGGTCCTCCCGGCGCCATGCTGCCCTCCGTCGCCGGCCGGCAGCGACTAAGCCCTCCAGCCTCGGTCTCGCCATATAGCTTCACCGTTCGGCCCACTGCCTTCCGTGAACATTGGCGGAAACAGAGCCGGGGCCGGCGCTCGGCCGACCGACCCCCGTCACTCATCACACTAATCCGCCACACAGTTTTATTCATTAACGAGGGAATACACAGATTGAGGGAGCATTGCCATTGTGAGCAGACATCATTTGCCTTCATGATCTTTCCGGGTGTGCTGGGTCGTTTATTCCTCGCTCTCCAGTTTTCCCTGTATCGGTAAAGAAATCAACACGATTGTTGTCACCCGAGTGTTATTGATGCTCGTTTATCGTTTAAACGCGTTATTCATATTAAAATGGCTTAGTTCAATGTATGTCACCATATTTATGATGTTGTGGAAACAATAGACGATTCCAGTGCCAACAGCTCATCAACTTCCCCACCCCCCAGTACAACAGCACTGTAACGATGAGATTTAATCGCCTTTAACATATGGATTCAAGCTCTATCACGCTGTTGAACAGAAGTATAAACAGAACCATACAAAAGTGTTTCGAGTGGTTGCAGTAAATTTCCCAACTTCCCAGTGATAGGTATACTATATTTGCCTTATGTTTATCGCATCTTACCGCGATAACGCTAAGTACTTAACGGGGATGAATTCTTCTAACATTTCTTCACCAGGCAAAGTGTACGATTGACCCTGGTTATGTGTACAATTTTGTTCATTTATGAATTGGTCAAGCTTTAGCTGGGAAATAACTTACGAAACTGTCATGGGGAAAGAAAGTCGCCTGCCTTGTGATTTACGGTATAAAGGTCACCAATTACCATTTATATATCACATTTGACATCTTCCTATAATTATGGAATGTGAAACGGCATATAATAATATTGATAGGAAGTAGGAACTAGGAGCGTCACGACAGGGAATTTATCAACCACCAAAAACGACTGAGTCGCCTTGAGGCTGGAGAACGGTGCTTATATAATGTTGTTTTGTCGGAGACCTTCAATTCGTGTCCCTATAGCGACAGCGTGACAGCGTGCATGTCTGGCCCTTACGGTGTCTATATGTCGCGCCTGGATGACGTATGTGCTTTGGGTGCCACATGGACATGGAATGGGTGTTCTCGATGTATGTTGACGGATATCATACTCATACCTTGCTTCAGTCAAGGCCGCTGTAGGCTGCATCATTTCAAAGACAATACCAAACTCGCAGCACGACGAACCGGTGAAAGGACGATAGAGCACGAAAACACGATCCTCATCGCGTTGCATGCACAAGGCGAATTAATTCGGAACAAAAAATTCAGCTCAGCCATGGATCCATATATGTCGTAAGCAAGCCATGAGTCTTACATCCGACTTTAAATATTTGCTTTAAGCATGAAGCTATCGACAAGCGTCCACAATTAGAATTAGAAGCATGGTTCATATTTTCATAGACGAAATACAGCGTAGTTAAATTGATCATATGGTTTGTTATAAATGCATCGCGTCCGTAAACGATATTTTTAGCAGGCTGAGCCAAAGTGCTTCAAACATGACGAAATCTATGAGCTTGTGCATTTCAATGACTGACTAACCATCTTTGGCTAAGGAAAGCAGTGCGATAGCACATTATCAATTCGTACGTGTCATGGCAATCCCCTGGATACCCTTGATACCGAGGATTTCCTCTTTTCCTTGAAACCCTAAAAAAATCGCGCCAAAGCCGGTGAATAGGTAGGTCAAGGAAGGCCATGAACGTTATTGTATGAAAAAGAAAATCAAAAGTTGAGAATCACGCCATGCAGGTTTGCCTGGGTTGCCCCTTGCTTGGATTGTTCCAGCCATTCGCTCGAAACGTACCTTACGTTAGTGATCGAATCTTTAACCATATGCTTTACACGGTAAAATTGGGAAATTTTACAATTCATAAATGTCCAGAGATACGATATAATTAAGCATTACGACGCATAGTTTACAAGCAGTTTAAAAACTGCGTCTTTTAAAATTAATGATATTAACCTGATTTGTGCCTTTGAAGCCAAGCCCACACACACTATTAGCGCCATCGCGATAGCTTGCGTTGGGGAGGTGTCGGACGTGTCCATAAATCACTGACTGGGCCACATCCATTCAAGGCATTCGCCTGGAACATTTTACACACAGTCGCATCTTGTAACGTCAATCAGGTGCACCTTGAGTAGGTACTCGTAAGAAAAATACAGTCCACTTCTAATAATGCCAGCAGCAGGCATTAACGAGCATTAGTGTTACAAAACATTTGGACGTGAATACACTTGCACAATTCAGAGCATATCAAAAGGTGCAAACAAGCACGCGGCTTTCCGTGAATGTGTGACTTCATGGCAAAACCCAGTTATATTTGGAGTTAATACAGGACCAGTGGTGACTGTCGCTCTAAAATGGCAAGCAAGCTATGTGTCATTCTAAGGCTGCGCCAAAATGGTTGAACGAAACACATTCTCTAACGAGCACTCTGAAATGCTGCAATGAAAGATGGCTCTCTGCTACCGACAAAATACAATGTAGATAGGTACACATTGCACATGTCTTTAAGTTGACTCGTTTACCTACGAAGATGTTTCATATGGCAGACACAATTTTTGTCTTTTGTGGAAGTCAAGCGCACACACAAGGCCCAGCATATCCCGCGCACCGACGGGGGGGGGGCGGATATCCGCCCCCCTGAGGTTTTTTCGCGAATAGCGGGAAAATCGCGGCGCGTAGCGCCGCGAAATTTGGTATGACTATAACCTCATCAATTTTACACATGGTGTGCAAGTTTGAACCTCCTACCTTTCAAGGTCAGGTCACCAGGTCACTTTGAATGACCCAACCTCAAGTCACTTTTTTGCAACTTTGTCACCGTGCCAGAGCTACAGTAGATGTCGGAGGCCTTTGAAATTCGCAGGATATTATTAGGTCATTAGTAGCTACAATTTGTATATCTCGGAATTTTGATATCGGTGACCTAAGGTCAGGTCAATTTCGCGACCTCCCCATTATAAGTCAATGGGGGAAAAATCAACTCCCTGTTTTTACCACTAAAACGGGTCGGAATGGCCCCATATACCATACATGACTTCATATACGATCAACCTTCACTACCTTGAGGTCTGTTTTGCTGTTGGGCAGCTGTGAGGTCATGTGACGTCATCAAAGGTCACCAAAGGTTTTTGGCCAATAACTCCGTACAGGAACAAGATACAGACGCGTGGATGGTCTCATTGTGTTCAGCTCGTCAAGACGCATCGAATGATATACATGATGACCTCGAGGTCACGTGACCTGAGGTCAAACTTTGACCTTGACCTTTCGAGGTCAACATATATATCATTCGATGCGGATTGACGAGAGGATCACGATGATGCCCTTAGTTTGTTCCTATCTTGACTAATTCGAAAGTTATTCGAGAAAAACTCTCTCCATATCTAGCGCCGCCATTTTGACTTTTTCGACCCCTGTGACGTCATCTTTGATCTGACCTGAAAATGACCTTAGTAAAAATTGTAGATCTTGGCCGTGCGTATCCGATGCCGTTTACCGCTTGTCGCTATCTTGCTTCGTTCTCGAGATCTCAGGGGGGGGGCGGTCATCCGCCCCCCCCCCGTCGGTGCGAAGTTGGCGCAGACCCCCGTCGGTGCGCGGGATATATCATCTAATTTTATGTCGGTGACGCCTCTGTAAATCACCGACCCTTGATCACGGTAACATTTAACATTTGGCCACTAAAAGCTCGGCACCAAATTACATGAGCATGTTTGACTAAACTATAGTTCACAGATCTTTTTTTGTAAATCGGAGTTATCTGAGGCATGGGACAATAGGCACTTGATATCACATTTAGGTTGATAAGGATATATTTTTCAACAGTTCATAACTTTTTGGTCGGTCTTATCTTCATTTCGACCATCTGCAGAGAATAATTGATCCCGAGCCACTCATCCCACACCACACCGTACGACTTCGGGGGTGTCTCTCCGGACAGATACTGCCCGTTCAAATTTGATTTAAAACACGACTTATACCACCAGCCGCCCTTGAATATGTTGGCGCACTCTTTGACCCCGTGGCTGTCGTGGTCCCTATCCTTTGTGGAGAACCGCTGTCCAACGTGATAACTGAGACTGTCGCCGGCATCTCCGGTATAGTTCTCCGCCGATAGTCGATACCCGTCCTCCTCGGAGGAGATGCGGAACCCCTGGTACAGCGCGTGTCGCCTCCCGCCGTCAAAGTCCTCCAGGTCGACCCTGAGCTCGTAGCGCCGGTCGAGCAGTGACGTGAGCCGCCACAGGTTCTCCAGTCCCCACCAGAACTCGGCGTCCAGCTCCCCGAAACCCCACTTGTACTCGTGCCAGCCGAGGTAAAAGTCGCGCCGCGGTCGGATGTCGGCTCGGCGTAGGAGCAGCGTCCACCCTCCGCCGGACGAGGTCAGGTCACAGTAGGCGGGTACAGGTCGGCCCAGGTCAGGTCGGAGCAGGTGCACGCCACTGGCAGAGCCGGCCGGAAGGTCACTGCAGTCTCTGACCGTGGCGGTGTCCGGCGGGATAGGCTCTGTCTCTCCTAACCGGGAGTCCATTCTGCGCTGCAGTCGGTCCAAACGATCGGTCACCTCCGCCAGTCGGGACTTGAGGTCAGTGGTGGTGTAACACAGCCGCTCCAGGCTGCAGCTGGGGGTGACCTCCAGCTCTGACAGCGGCTGGAGGGGTGGGGAGGAGAGGTCCACTCCGACTCCAGCCGTCAGCAGCAGCAGGAGCAGGAGAGGATGTCGAACAGACACCGACATCGGCCTCAGTAAAATGATACGAGCGGCAGCCACTACCACTACCACCACCACACAGACGCAGTCTTCTGTCGGGGGCTAAAGAAGGATCTCCCTTCTGTCTCCGTCACAGTGCTGGAGCTCCTCACTTCAGCACAGTCTCTATCCAACTGCCAGTGCAGACACCACGAACTCTGTCACCCCAGTGCAGTGGGTCCCTCTGTTTATACCAGAGGTCAACTGAGAGCCGCCGAGTGATGGCCTGCACTGTAGCCGGTCGGGTCTGGTTAGTGTCATCGTACCACGCTGGCGTTCCAGACGGTACGTGCATTGGCCCGTACGATGTACTGCTAAACCCGTTATCAAGAAGACACACAATCATATGCAGAGTGAGTAATGAGTATAAAGGAAAGCGAAATCTGCACAGGATGTGATTCCTATTGTTTCCTGTAATACTCTGTCCCTTTATCATTTGGTTATAACTTATGGGTGGGTAGTTAATTACCATCTAATTTCAGATTTATTATCAATTTCGTTGAATTACCTTCGTCACTCGGTGAACGGCGCCTAAATGTTGTCCTATAAATGGAATAGGAAACGCCTGAGTGCTTTATACTTTATTTCGTCTAATTGCTTTCATCGCAGTGAACGGTGTATTTTGACCTTATATGGAATAGGGAAGGACCGAGACAAAAGGAAAAAGAAATAGGCAAGCTGGCGGAATGCTCGCTTCATTTCGTATAACAAGAAATAAACGGTCCTGTCAATCAAGGCAGTTAAATATTCGCACAGAAAGGCAACGATATATTTACCGTACTGAAATATTTAACAGTGGAAGCTTTTCTTGGTTTATTATTAGGCATGGGGCAACGATAAGGTCATCTTACACATCTTGTGCCAGGTGCCTATATTGACACCATTGCTTTGGTCGTGTTTAGCCCGTATTAATGCCATGTTTAATGTTATACATTTTATTTGTAAAGGGCTACCATGAGTGTTGGCCTCAGGTCAAGGCCAGGTCAAAGCCGGTCAGGTCATGTCTAAGCACTAACTATCTATCTATATCATTGGTATTCAATTCAATTTCAACATTGTGTTTTCTTCTACATGTTTTCTTGTACTCTATGAAGAAGCTTGACATTCTTTTATTCCTTTCTGAAAAGAAGATGGACTACTTACAAATTTGTCTCGATGTTGTCATAGCAACGGAAACAAAAAGCACGCCGCGTTGCCTATGCTGAGGTTGATGCTAAGCCATGTGCTTAGTTGGTGCTTAGCTTAGTGAGACGACAGAAATAAACGATCTAATTTCTTTTGAGCAGCATTACAAAACTCTTTTTCCCAATTGCCAACCCTAATATAGCGGTATTTTTCACACAAATACAGCAGTATATCTTCAAATTTTTGAACCGTACGAAAGCTGTTTCCATTCAAGACTTCATTACGATTCGCAGTCATATCCCTTTCATATGAGACAGTTGACCAGCATACAATCGCTATTAGTCGATGGTGACAAGTCTTCCTCAAATATAGCAGGATTCACAAGCAAATTCCAACCACAAGCTGATAAGGAATGCTAGAAACTTTTATCGACATAATTCGTATTTTGAAATCCACAGCACACTGATCGTGAGGCAGTACATATGTCTCCCGTAACACGTTCCGCCTCAACTTCCGCGCGATCTCCCGGAAGCCGGCCATCGAAAAGAAGAGGACCCACGAGATCAACTGGATCAAAGTCTGGCAGATCAACCAGGTCAGGATCGGTAAGATCCATCCGATCTAATCCTGGCAGACCAGCACAGCTCACCGGATCGAGGTATACCCGACTGCCGGCTGTACCCTCTCCGAGATTCACACGCCCTCGGCGGCTGACGGTGACTTTTGACAGCGAGATCCGCCGACCACCGCGACACACCAGCGGACTCATCGATGACTCAGACGAGTTGGACTCGTGTCACGAGGGGGCCGACTCGACCCCGAGCCGGCCTGTGACGCGATCAATGACTCAAATCCTCAACTCACCTGCGAGGGGTCGCCGTCCGACCAGACAAGAGGTCTTCGCTCGGATGTTTCCCAACTTCGCCCGCGATCAGCGCCGTTCAGCGGCCGCGGCGGTGGCTGCAAAGCGTCGTCGACAGCCAGCTTCCCACACCAAAGGAGCACGACCCGGCGCTCCCAGGTCGCCTGGAACGCGGCGCTGGTTTCGTCGTAACGCCGTGGGTCTGCGTGTGACCACTGAGGCTCTCAGACAGGCGGAGCGAGCAGTGGCACAGTTCGAGACGCTGCTCCTCTCCTGGCTCCGACAACGGGCCGGACCGCGCCGCGCTCCAACAATGGGGGACGTGCTGACCGTGCTGCGGCGTAGCGGCGTAGCTAGCACGCCGGCGGAGCTGCGGCGGCTCATATGTCTCCACCTGCCCGTGGAGCAGCAGAGGGAGCTGATCAGGGTGGCGCAGAGCGGGGGTCGACTGTATCCGGCCGCTGACCCGCTGGACTTCCAACACTGGCCGACCGACTGCCGCCGGTAGACCACTGTAGCCGGTAGGGTGAGCAGCCGGACCCGAGCTGACTGGGGTGACGAGTGGCCGCTATTATAGCGTAAAGCGGGATAAGTGCCAGGCGATAATTCTTAGTTAGTTGTCCATCGTCATGAATGCGATACGCTCACCGTGATTCTAATTAAATCCTGACTCAGTTGCACTGTAAATGACGACGATGAAATGGTTGGTTGATTGATAGGCACGCATTCCTAATATGATACGAGTTGTCGCATGGAATTATACGATTTTAAACATAAATATACGTCGTGTGTTGTGCTGCCTTGTTTCACATGCTGCTTGAAATATAACACGCCGCTGCTGATAAAGAAACAAATTAACCCAACCGATGGTAATACCGATAATTATGCAGGACAAAGCACAAATGCATAACGCCATAACATGCTAACTATAGCAACGCAGAATACATCGACCGATCCTTGTATGCCGCGCACATGTAGCCCGGATCATGCAAAAATAGTACGAACTTGCTCAGGGACATGCATTTAGCGGCATTTGAACGGTTGCCGAAAACGTTTCATATATGTATGTCGCTCCGAATCATTAAAATGAATAGCTCCAGCCTCCAATCATTGACATCTATATGCCCACATCCAATGGCATGATCTAACTACATGTTATACCCGCACTGTGATCTTTGCTGCAATGTTGCACCCTGTGGTTGCACCCGTCCCGACCCAAGGAAACCATTGATGTGACCGTCGCTAGCTTTGTCATTTCTTCACAGGAAAATACAATAGATGGCAACAGAGGGCTGATAAGCTGTTCTTGATCAGGTCGATCAGGACCAAGATTACTTGGATCAGGGCCTTTGGTTGAAATTATGGTAGGTCTCAAGTTCTCTCATGCATAATTTTATCTCTCTTCTCCATACATGTTGTGAACTGTGTCTGTGGTTTAGGTACTAGGTAGACATAAAAATAAAGCGTCACTTTATTTCTTGGTAGATATCTTTCCTTGAGACATGCGTCCTGAGTATTGTGAACTGAAATTTAGACAACAAACTATTTTGTCAACCAAACTAGTACCATGCGAATTGCGAAAAGGTATGTGTTAGCGCTGGCCGCTGTGTGAACTAAAAAAGTAAATTTTTTAAGTTTCTTGCATGACGTCATAAGCCCATCTTCAAAAGTACTTTTTTACTAAGAATTGAAATATGCATTCCTTGATCGTTTTCGCTCAATGCGCGTGTCGTGTTTCTCTGTTTTGGGCGTTGAGGAGTTATTCCAATTCCGAGCAATTCCGAAATTCCGAGTCGGATTTGGAGTTGAACACCTCAACCTACCGATTTTACATTTTTCCGTTTTCCTTTTGTCTCTATTTCGTATAATGATAGCAGACACACATTTCGTGGGCCTTGGTTGGTAAGTTAAAAGGCCAAGGCTATATCAATATTTATTTTGATTTTGATTTAAACGGCCAAGGCTATGTAAACCACTGGCACTAAGTCAAAGTTATGTTCGGGGATCGACTTTTAATCGTATAGTAAGCCATTTCCCTGTCACTGTAATAAGTTTAAAGTAAGTGGGGAAAATCCACCATTTCAGGTGTCCAAAAGATTTCCAATGATTATCAGGAGTCAAGAGTCTTAGTGCAAGTGCGTACTGAACAGTGCAAATTGCTAATTGGGTCCACTGTTGCTACCTACCAGAGAATATATATGTTAAAAACCTAGCCTTTTAGAACGTAGCCTTTGATTGTTCTTTGCATGAACATGCATATTTGTATTGTTGAAGAGCACAAAGGAGCTTCAATGGTAACTTAGGTTGATTCACATCAATGAAATAAAGAGGAGCCTGTATCAGTTGTTATGTTCTTACCTACCACTCCTTTATAATGATTCTGCCACAGTTGTTGCTTGACTTTTTGAAATTTTGGTTGATTTTAGGCTAGTTGCTTTTTGTGTGCTAATTAAAATAAATTGAATGTTTTTTGCTGCCTGCTCTTTTTTTGTGTGTCCTATTTTGGTGTGTGTAACATTTTCATCATCAAATGATATCTTATGTCATTAAATTATGTTATTAATTTTCATTATTTTGTTTCAGATGGATTCTTCAAGGGTGCACCAAGAAGTTGCTTCTCAATTCTAGTAAGTTCGCTCTCTGTAACATAATTATTCTAGTGAAAATTGAATTGGCATTGGGATTTATATTTTTTTTCATCAACCATTGAAGTGCCTACTACATTAGAACAGCTATCTGGAGCAGAACAACTCCACAAGACAATTGCTCTCATCAGTTTCATTGCCGTATCTATTAGGTGCATGGTGCACCAATTACCTTGGGCAAATTTCTCACAAATTCTCCATTTCAGGAAGCATGTCATCACCACCTCCGGCAGCAGGAGGGTTGTTGGAGAACCCTGTGCCAGAGGAGTCGCCGGCACTGCGTGAGACTATGGCCGATCTGCAGCCGCCAGCACTGGATCCAGACTCCACACCACCGGGCCTGGAGTCTGGGAATCTGTCTGCGTCAGAGCAGGAGTATGAGGACCAGCCTGCGGCAGACCCGCTGTCCCTGGGACTAGATTCTGAGGACCAGTCTGTGCTGGCGCAGGAATA